CAACTTCCTCCACCAGAAGAAGTTACAGAAGCTAAAAACCTCCTTTCAGATGCCTTCATTCACCAGAAAACACCTTAACATTGGCCATAGTTGGGGTCAACAGAATGAGGGCCACCTAAACCCTATGTCTTGTTGCACAGGAGCCTCACCTTAGGAACTCTCTCTCAGCTGTGTTGTCTCGCACGCGTCGTGTAGGGCTCTGCTATTGAACATGAGTCCAAGTGTTTTAAATTGGCAGCTTGCTTTTTACAGCTCAGCACTTTTTGGCAGGATTTTGTATATAAAACGTGTCCCGTGACTGTTTGTCTCTTTTCACTTTCTGGTGTTTGTCTAATAAAAATGCATATGTAATTTATTCTATTTTGTGGGCCTTTTAATTAAAGACATGGAACAGCAAATGCAAATGAAGGTAACAAGCACTTTTCCTAGGGCTCTGCCCAGTGAAAAGCTCAGATTTTTGCTCTTCATTCACACCTCCATTAGCAGCCAAAACACACTGGCACAGCTTAGCACCAAAGGGAGGTTTGCTGGTGATTTCAGTGCTCTCCCCACTGGAAGCTAAACACAGGGCACGCCAAGGCAAGAGCCAGGCACAGGGGAAAAGGTCTAAGATTCATTTACTATGCAGGTCCCAGGCAATGCAACATCCAACAGCCTGGCTCCCAGGGGGTACGAAGGGCAGTGCCAAGTGCGTGATGAACCTGCATAAACTTCTAACAATAGGGAGCTAATTACATGGGGAGTCAGAGCAACCACCCGACTTGTTTGGGTGTATCAGTGCATCTCAAAACCCCTTTTACTGTGAGCTGAGTGCAAACATCTGCGGGTTGAAAGCACACCCTTTCTGTTCAGAGCACTGGCCATGCTGGTTTAGGTGCTCATCTTGGGTCTTGATGCTGGTGTTCCTTCTCCTTTGACTATAAGCAGGTGGAGGATCTGGTCCATGTGCATTCAGAAGCTACACTGAGTTACATGTTGCTCATCCAATAGCTGTAAAAAATATCCAAGAACAGGGGACCTGTTGGAAAGTGAAAGCCTTCAAGATCCAATGTTTCTTCTCACTCCTAGAATACATTGGAGACAAGATCTTGCTTTGAGAAAGTGGAGAAAAACCGGAGGAGGTGTAGCAATTTTAGATGTGGTTCTGACTAATCGAGAGAAATTAATTAAGAAGCAAAAGCAGAGCAGAGTATCATCAGGCTGAAAGCTACATCTCACTGCTGAAGAGCAGTTGGACAAGCAGAAAAACAGTCCCAGCTCTCACCCCATGTTATTCAGTAAGTTCAAGTAGTAGGAAAATACTCAAAGAGATGGGCAAGCAGAGGGGAATTGGCAGAGCATGAATCATAGAATAGTTAGGGTTGGAAAGGACCTTAAGATCATCAAGTTCCAACCTCCCTGCCGTGGGCAGGGACACCTCACACTAAACTATCTCATGCAAGGCTTTGTCCAACCTGGCCTTTAACACCACCAGGGATGGAGCATTCCCAACCTCCCTGGGCAACCCATTCCAGTGCCTCAGCACCCTCACAGTAAAGAATTTCTTCCTTAGATCCAATCCAAACTTCCCCTGTTTCATTTTGAACCCGTTACCCCTTGTCCTGTCACTGCAGTCCCTAATGAAGAGTCCCTCCCCAGCATCCCTACAGCCCCCTTCAGATACTGGAAGCTGCTCTGAGGTCTCCACGCAGCTTCTCTTCTCCAGGCTGAACAGCCCCAACTTCCTCAGCCTGTCTTCATACAGGAGGTGCTCCAGCCCCTGCTCATCCTCGTGGCCTCCTCTGGGCTTGTTCCAACAGTTCCATGTCCTTTTCTTCGTGAGGACACCAGAACTGCACCCAATGCTCCAGGTGAGGTCTCACGAGAGCAGAGTAAAGGGGCAGGATCACCTCCTTGGACCTGCTGGTCACGCTCCTTTTGATGCAGCCCAGGACACGGTTGCTTTCTGGGCTGCAAGCGCACACTGCAGCCAGCTCATGTTCATTTTCGCATCGACCAACACCCCCAAGTCCTTCTCCTTGGGCTGCTCTGAATCTCTTCTCTGCCCAGCCTGTAGCTGTGTCTGGGATTGCTCCGACAAATGGATGATTGAGAGTATTTGGATTTTCCCTCAAGACCACCAGTTTCCACAATGTTCTGGGATGCTCTGATGTTCCTCTCTGTATCCCTCAGGCAATCTCCTTCCCAACAACTTGCAGGCTTGGCTATGGGTCTGCTGAGACTCTCACTCCTGCTCCACCACCTCTCCCTGCTGAATGCTCACAGCAGCTTCCTGGGAAGGAGCCAATATCCTTGCTCCGAACAGGAGCCTGGGCAGTGTTAAATAATGGTCTTCCACCTTGCTGCCCAAACACACTCTTTAACCAAAGAGGGTGTAATGCACGTAGCCAACAGGCACATCAGACGGATGCCACCCATTGCATCAGCACCTGCATTGTAACACAGAGATTACAAAGCTCTTCAATCGAGCATGGGAGAGGCTGAGGCCAGAATATTTGTTCTCCCAGGGCATCCCTGCTTAAGCAAGATACAAAAAGACACCCTGGTAAATGTTCCCATCACTGGATACGCAACCAATGTACAACTGTCCTTGCTCCAGAGCAGGGCTCTGCTCACAATGTACAATGCATCCATCCTGCTGGACAAGTTAAACAGACGTAGCAATGACCTGGGGCTTGTATTTCAGTGTGAGAGGACAGCCCTTGTTAATTCTAGCACAGCCCAGATTAAGCCCTTAGTCATGATGAAATGAATGGTGTTTGCACTCAGGGGCTTGAATTTGCAGTGCATGGAAGGAACTGATTCCTAATTGCTACCAATAACACTTTCACAGAGCTCTTTAGGACAGGCAGTAGCTTAGTCACAGGAGCTCCCCTCTTAAAAACTGCTGCTTGTTGTGACACACAGTAGCTGAAACACTCCCAGAACAGTTATTTTAGCTTCATTCCAGGGTGTGTAATGAGAAATATTACAAGAATAGAGAAGAGAATAAGGCAGGAAGGTAGGAGAAGATGCATCTGAAACTATCTGCTCCACACCCAGAGCCTGCAAGGGTCTTTCTAATAGCTGGGGAAAGCTGTGACTCCCCAGTAACTCTACAGGCTGATGCTACCTCCTTTGGTGAGTAGATAAGCAGCATGGACAGCCACAAGAGAGATGTACCCTGGCAAACCTAAGGGGCTGCAGGGTCCAAGAGAAGCGTATCCATCCCTGAACATCTGGACGAGACCCTGGGAGTGGATTTCCAGCACCTTACCGCTCGGGTAAGTGCCTGTGTGTGGAGATGTGATGATTCCAGCTGGGATAGCATTAATTTTTTTCACAGTAGCTGGTATGGGGCAATGCTTTGGATTTGTGCTGAAAGCACAGGGCTGTTCAGCTATTGATGAGCAGTGCCTACACTGAGCCAAGGCCTTTTCTGCCCCCCATCACAACCCACCAACCGATCGGCTGGAGGTGCACAAGAACACAGCCAGGACAGCTGATCCCATCTGACCCAAGGGCTATTCCAGACCATATGGTGTCATGATCAGCATGTAAAGCTGGGGAAGAGGAAGAAAAGATGTTCAGAAGGATGGCGTTTGTCTTCCCGTTATGAGTGATGGAGCCTCGGGATGGCTGAACACCCGCCTGACCATGGGAAGTGGTGGATTAATTCCTTGCTTTGCTTTCCTTGCGTCTGCAGCTTTTGCTTTACCTACTAAATTGCCTTTATCTCAACTCATGAGTTTTCACACTTTTACACTGAAGATTCTCTTCCCCATCCCATCAAGGGGCTGTGCGTTGCTTAGCCTTTGGCTGGGGTTTAACCCTGACTACAATGCTACCATACAGCATGCACAGGGCAAGTCAAAACACCATAGAACCATAGAATAGATTGAGTTGGAAGGGACTTTCAAAGCTCATCTAGTCCAACCCCCCCTGCAATGAGCAGGGACATGTTCAACCAGATCAGGTCACTCAGAACCACATCCAGCCTGGCCTCGAATGTCTCCATGTGTCTTTCTCCAGAGAAATGCACTGTTTGACTTTTCCTGGGTGCTATGTGGAACAAGAGTAAAGGGAGTTGACTGGGAACAAGGTCATAAGCCACAATCCCAAGCAGTGAATTTCCTTGTGAGTAAGAGATATCAGAGGGAGAAGACAACAGACATGGGGCAGGAAGCCTGGGAAAAGGCTTCACACCGTGTAGAGACACAGTCATGCCATGAGTCAGGAAACAGCCAAAAGATCTGTGAAGGTGAAGCCCTGAGAAATCGCTAACTCAGGTTTTGTGTCGTCACAGACAGTAACTCCCTCCCAGGTCATGCTCTGATATTTCATCATTGGTTGTCAGTCTGAATCAGGATGAAATGTAGACACTTTTCACAGGAAAGCCTGAAAATACCATTCATAGAATCACCTTCCATGTGCTCCCCACTCCCCAGCTGGTTTTTGATAGTTGATAGTCCAAGACTTCCACTAATGGCCCATAACTTCCCCTCCATCACTGCTTTCTCCCATCCCTATCAGTTCACGTTTGGGCATGAGAACCAGAGTTCAGCATTGCCAACAAGTCAAGGCCTGAGGTGCTGATGCCCTGCTGGGGTTTACACAAAACCACAGCAGCAGGAAAACATTGACCCACAGTAAGAGATTCCTCAGCCCTTGGACCACTGCACCGTGAAATACCGAGGGCTTATGCAACAGAGAGATTGATTCACCCCTGAAACAGAGATGAGCGAGCGCTTGCCCAACCTTGGGAGCCATCTGCTGCAGAGGTGAAAGGAGGGAGTGGGAAAGGGAGGGCTGTGAAGAGGGGTTGAGCAGGAACTATTTAGTGTTTTCTCAGATATTTCGACAGCCCCATCATGACTATCATGAAAAAATGCAACCCCTGCACTTTGTGAGTGCTTCCTCCGTGCCTGTGCTCACGGTGAACTCACTGGCTGCATGGGGCTGGGTGTGCCGAGCCCGGTTAATCAGTGAGATGAGCACCACGCCAGACCCATCCCCAGCTAGTAAAGGGTATAAAAGGGCCAGTCCCAGCCTGGGGGAGCACAAATTCACCTTTCTGCCTTCATCCACTTCCTCGCTGCTTAATTCTTCCTACTGCTCTCACCCTGCTCATATCAGTGGCCATGTCTCGCCAGTGTGCTGCAAGGAACCAGATCAAAACTGGCTTCAGTGCTGCGTCTGCCTTCATCCCAAATGCCAGCAGCTCCAGCTTCTGCTTGCGTTCTGCATCCCAAGGTGGAAGCTGCAGTTCCGCAGCTGGCTATGGAAGATTTGCTGGAGGTTTTGGAAGCAGGAGCCTCTACAGCCTTGGTGGATGCAAGAGGATCTCCGTAGCTGGAAGAGATGGTGGCTTCTATGGACCTGCAGGTTTTGGTGCTGGCACTGGGAACCCCTGTGGTTTTGGTGGTGCCTTCGGGTTTGGTGGTGGCATGGGTGGCCCTGGATTCCCTGCTGTCCCAGCTGGGGGCATCCATGAAGTCTCAGTCAACCAGAGCCTTCTGAAACCTCTCAACCTGGAGATTGACCCCAACATCCAGAGTATCCGCAGGGATGAGAAGGATCAGATTCAAACCCTCAACAACAAATTTGCCTCCTTCATTGACAAGGTGAGACATAAGATTTCTTGGTTAAGCTCTGTTGATTCTTTAGTGGGGAAGCAAGAACAAGGGCAAGTTGTATCTTTATCAGCAATTCTGCTACTCCTGTACTGACACTTCTAACATCAGCAGCTCAGGAATAAAAGGTTTCAGCTTTGAGACCACTCAACCCTTGCATTAATGCTGAGATGAGACCAGCCAACACTGGGAAAATGGTGATACAGGATGTAAGGAAGCAGAGTTTGCAAAGAGAGCAGGAATGTTAGTATCAGATGTGCAATGCTTCCTTGCTTGTCTAAATTGTCAGTTGTTCCCTGAGCCCGAAGAGCCCCCACCTTCCAGCAAGCAGGATTGTACCTTTCCTCTCTAAGGACAACCATCCTAAAATCACCGTTTGTGAAACATCTACTTTCTCTACCCAGGTCCGATTCCTTGAGCAACAGAACAAAGTCCTGGAGACCAAATGGGCCCTTCTGCAAGAACAGGGGAACAAAACAGTCAGAAACAACATTGAGCCCCTCTTTGAGACCTACATCAACAACCTCAGGAGCCAGCTGAACCGGTTGCTGACCGACAAGGAGAACTTGGGAGGGGAGCTGAGCAAGGTGCAAAACCTTGCTGAGGACTTCAAGAACAAGTAAGTCCATTCATGGTCTGCCTAGGGAGCAGGGTGGGCTGTGACAGCTCACTGTTGCATGTGTGCAATCAAACAAGGGACACGTGCTGATATGATCTTCTGAGTAAGGCCCAGGTTAAGTTTAGTATCAGACATACTCAGCCTCACTTCCCCTGGCTGAGTCACAGGCAGAAGATTTTGGGGCTAAGAGACCAAGGAACAAAACTGTACAAGCCCAGACCAACCCTCCCTTTCCATCCTGCAGGTATGAAGAGGAGGTCAACAAGCACACGGCTGTAGAGAATGAATTTGTGATCCTGAAGAAGGTGGGTGCAGGCACATTGTGCCTCCCAGCCCTGCACCAGTATAGCGAGATACACATTCTCCAGCTTTTCCTCTGCTTCTCCAAACCCCACGTCATTACTGTGATGTTTTCCCTCTTCTAGGAAGTGGATGCTGCCTACATGAACAAGACAGAGCTGCAAGCCAGGCTGGAGTCCCTTATGGAGGAGATAGATTTCCTCAGAGCCCTCTATGAAGCCGTAAGCAGCAGCATTTACATCCTTCTCTCAGTTTCCAATGCCCTGGCCTTCCTTTCCCCCTTCAGAAGTTCAGGACTGATTATTTTCCATTCTGTTGCACTAAATAATTCAATGCTTTTCCCATTTCACCTTCTGTCTTAGCCCTGCCTGAAACTACCTTGGAAAAACCCCTTTGTCCACCCAGATCTACCCTCTGACTATGGGGGTCTCCTCCCTCTGAGGAGCCTCACATCTCACACCTGTAACCCACCGAAATACCCACTGCTTTGCAGGAGCTGTCCCAGATGCAGTCACAGATCTCTGACACCTCTGTTATCCTGACCATGGACAACAACCGCAGCCTGGACATGGACAGCATCATTGCAGAGGTCAAAGCGCAGTACGAGGACATCGCCAACCGGAGCCGGGCAGAGGCTGAGTCCTGGTACCAGTCCAGGGTGAGTGCCTAGGAAGGCTTCAGCGATGAGAGAACCACGCTCCCTCCTCCAAATCCCCATGGGCATATGGGTCCCTCCTTGATTTCTATAACACAGGATGCCTTCCAATTTAATAATCCTATAAAGTTTGGAAGTGCCAGTTTGGGATTGAGAACACAAGCATGCTTCTGAGTGCAAACACCCACCCACTCTAAAACCAATGTATTTTACCTTGACTGACTGCTCTCTCTTGGTGGCAGTACGAAGAGCTGCAGGCTACAGCAGGCAGACACGGGGATGACCTCCGTAACACCAAGCAGGAGATCTCTGAGCTCAATCGCCACGTCCAGCGGCTGCGGTCTGAAATCGACAGCGTGAAGAAGCAGGTAAAAGGCAGTGTGAATGGCTAAGGCTTACCTGCTGCTGTGGTCTAACCTCTTGGTTGCCCGGCCAACACCAGGGAATAAAACTAAATGAGTCTCAGTGAGTACTGCTGGATCAGGAATGAATACGTCAGTGCAGTAACATCACTAAGAGTAACTTAATGCAACATTAGTAAAGGAGATGTTAAGAGGTGTGCAGTTAGCTTAAATCCAGGTTGTGGCCTGTCTCAGAACATGAATCAATTCAGTGATTGTTAAGATCACACCTATAGATGTTTACCCAAAGGCTTCTGCGTGTAGATCAAGCATCATGACCTCAGGGTACGAGGAACTGGTCTATGCTCCAGGTAAGGAACACCACCACCATTTCTCCTCCACAGTGCGCCAGTTTGCAGACAGCCATCGCTGATGCTGAGCAGCGCGGGGAGCTGGCCCTCAAGGATGCCAGGGCCAAGCTGGAGGAGCTGGAGGCAGCCCTGCAGAAGGCCAAGACAGACCTGGCCCGGCAGCTCCGTGAGTACCAGGAGCTCATGAACGTCAAACTGGCCCTGGACATCGAGATCGCGACCTACAGGAAGCTGCTGGAGGGAGAGGAGTGCAGGTAGGGACAATTGGATATCCCAGCTTCCAGAGATGCAGTGGAGCTGCAGACCCTTGTTGGGTATAGACTTCCCACATTAACAAGACCTGAAACCTGTTTAAAGGCAAGCCATCGCCCATGAAGATGAGCTGTTCGGGAAGACGCTAACTTTGCATCTTCCACCAAGTATTCTGCCTTTTTCAGCCAGCTCCTGTTCATGGGTTCCCCTTGAATTCTCACTGGCTCATTTTTCTCCAACAGGCTCTCTGGAGAAGGTGCTGGCACGGTGAATATCTGTAAGTAACTTCTAAAGGTAGTTTGGTAACTTTCACATTCACCTCCCTGCCACTCAGAACCCACTGCTTGTGGATGCCTCTAAAGAGTGTTTTCCTCTTGCAGCTGTGACCAGAACCACTGTAGGAACAGGATATGGAGGTGGAAACTGTCTCAGCTTCGGAGGCAGCAGTGGTGGTGTCGGAGGTGGGATCTGTGCTGGAGGAATGGGCTTCAGCTCTGGAAGCGGACAAGGCGCAGCTGGGTCATGCCGGGTGGGTGGAAGCAGTTCCAGCATGAAGTACGTCTCCACCACCTCTTCAACCAAGAGATGCTACTAGAGCCAGAGACGAGCACTGTTAGCCAGTGTGTGCCAGGTTCCTCTCATTTTGTGTGCAATCCTTTCCCTGTTACCTGAAAAGATTTGGAAGTGAAAGCTGTCCTTATTTATGAAACACGTCATGCTCCTGTTTGTTCTTTGACCCTCCAAAATCCTCATCTCCCAGTGTTTGTCTAATAAAAGGCAGATGGAATTAAATCTGTCATACATGCCTTTTAATTCCAATTACTTTGTAGAACCTTGGGGAAAAGCATGGTTGACAGAAGGCAAAAAGAAGCCATACAAGAGTTGAGACCTTTCCTTCCACTGCAACTCCATGGAGAACTCTTATATCCAACAGGAATAGAGCAGGTGGATATTCCATACCCATTTGTGTGAGCAAAGTGTTTTAGCATCAGTATCTTCCACAGGATGGGGAAATAGCCACTCCTCCTAGCAGGTACTAGAGACAACATCCCTCTATCTTCATTTCCACATTACTGCATCTCAGCTTTTTCATACCACCTTGATCATGCCCCAACCCCTGCAATTGTTCAAGGTTTTATGCGACGAGTCACGTAGGGATAGAAATCCAGGTTTTCCCAAGAAGGCTCATGCTGTTCTGTACATGCACCAGCTGCAGGGGCTAATAACATGCCCTCACTGACATTACCATAATTAGAAATGAAAAAGACCCATTAAAGCACCAAACTCACCCTCTTTGGGAAGAATAATGTCCGCAGACCTAGGCTGTGAGATAGTTAAAGACCCTGAGGGAAGGAAGGTTTAGTTCCCTTCTCTGATCTCCGACACAAACCAAAGCTTAAGAAACCCATGAAAACTGAACGTGGTGAGAGCACCCCAGCAGATTGTGCTGGCTCGGTCTCTGCCACAACCCTGCCGAGGGCCTAAAGCACTACAGGTAAACGTGGCACTCATCAGGGGCATGCTGACTCCTAACCTAAAGAGAAGGTGGTTCAATAAACACCAGTTTGTCATTAATCCTCCAGACCTAAGCACACCACCACACTACTGGAAAGGAAACGGCTCGTCCTCCGTCCTTTTCAATACCTGCCCATCTTTCCCTGGCATCTCTGGAGCCTATTCCCACTGACAGCAGCAGAACTGATATTTGGTTGTTATTTAAACATAACAGCATCAAACAGCCACCTGATGGCCTGGGCTTTGACGAGTCACGCTGTTTTCTCTCTAAGGAGCCATGTACTTTTAGCTATCTCATCACCCAGCATTTCAGCTAAGCAAAGCATCCAGGCTCCTTTTGCAGCCAACAGAAAGGCAGAGGTACACCCCAAATTATCAGTGCAGATGAAGAGTTGCCTGCAAAGATGAGGAGTGCAGACTAAGACATCCGAGTTCTTGCCTGCATCAGGACAGATTGCTCCTACCCCAAGACAGCTGGTAACCAGGGAGCAAAGCCAGTGTTTTCTATAGGAAAGCCCATCAAACTGGCACTTCCAACATCTCTGGATTCCCTCTTGTGGCAACATCAACTTTAAATTCCATGGGCACTGACACCATTAACCAAGTTAAAAACAAGCCCAAAGGGAACTTCCAGATGTAAATATTCTTTTCCCCCAGTAATAATTCCTGCTTTGAAAAATATAGGTTAGAAAATCTGGTTACTTTTATGAGCCTGCAGGTTGTCAGCCCATTGCATTAGTGACTTGGTGATTAACGGGTTGGGGAAGGTGGCCACATGCCAGCATAGCAAACCGATGAGCTCAGCAAACAGAGCTGCGGTCCTTTGTGAGCAAGCCCAGCTCTCCAAAAGGATAAAAGTCAGAGGGGACTCCTGATCCAAACTCCCAAAGCCTTCTACTCATCTGCCATCTCACCTCATTGCTCTCTGCTCTTGCCACCAACGAGCAATGGCACAGAAGTCGGTTGTCATGAGGTCAGGAGGACTCACTGGGGTTTCAGTGCTGCTTCTGCTGCCATGCCCGTTGACTGAAGCAGCTTCAGCTCCATGTCTCACAACAGTGGTGGAGGCATGGGATGGATCAGCAGCAGTTTTGGCAGGAGGAGCCTTTGTAACCTAGGGGCAAGCAAGAGGATTTCCATGAGTGGAGAGCATCTTTAGGTCAGGACACAGTTATGGGTCAGGTCAGGGCGGGTTGGCACATGGAGTTGCTGGAGCTGGGTTTGCGTTCAGAGGAGGATGTGGCCCTGGAGGTATTCAAGGGGTCATGGTCAACCAACACCTCCTGGTACCTCTTAACTTGGAGATTGACCCCAACGTGCAGAGAGTGTGGCAGGAGGAGGAGAACCAAATCAAATCCCTCAACAAGAAGTTTGCCTCCTTCATCGACAAGGAAAGACTCCTTCCACTTCACCCAGCCTGGCTTGCCTGTCATTGCCTGTAGAGTGGGATCAGAGCTACTCTCAATTTAATCCCAAACCCTTGATGCACAGCTTGTTACCTCCATATCCAGACTGTCTACACAGCCCTTGGTGTCGGAGGCCTCTGGGCAGGCTGGATATGGTGCAAATTAGTTTTCCAGGTTTCTTTGCAGTGACTATTGCTCCTGGTTTCCAAATCCTCCTTCCAATGATCTTTTGCTGATGAGCCCATCTAAAGCCCACTTTAAATTACAGAAAATAAAACCAACACACACACACACACACACACACCCCTCCATTTAAGCCCCCATCTCACGAAATTGAGGCAGGTTTGGAGTCGATGATCCCAAACGATCTAAATTGTTCTGGGTTTCAGGTGCGGCTCCTGGAGCAACAAAACAAAGTTCTGGAGACCAAATGGAGCCTCTTGAAAAACCAGAGTTGTGAAAAACAACCTTGAACCCATGTTCGATGCGTACATCAGCAACATGAGAAGACAGCTCGAGGCTCTGGGAGGGGATAGGCTGCAGCTCAGCTCAGGGCTGAAGGCTATGCAGGATGCTGTTGAAGACCTCAAGAACAGGTAAGCAACACAGAGAGGAGGAAACTTCCAGTTCTTCTTAACTGGTTACAGCTCCTGTGCAGTCATTTTAATACAGACCAGGATGAAACCTGAATCTCAACAATACCATTGAGCACTCTGAAAAGACACATTTCTTACTGGTGTGGGCTCCTTTCCAGGAGAGAATTGTCTAAAAAGAAAGATTAATTATAACTGAGTGCTTTTGCTGGCTTTTTAATTTGTTTTAATTTAATTATTACAATATCCCTTAGTACCAATGTATTAGATGAGAGTTTTAGTGCTTCTGAAAGTCAGGAGCTGCTTCCACCCCACTGAATGCCACTGAAATCTTGAGTTTCAGCTCAGCTCCTGAACTCTCCAGGCTGTTGGGAGGAGGTTTTCCCACTCTCATCCACTCTTTGCACTCTGCAAAAACATCTCCCAAGTGTTCATGTCTGCTACCATGCCCACGAGGGATGCGCAGCTCAGTGGCTGTGAATAAGTAAGGAGCTTAAATTGTCAGTCTGGAACCAGAAAAACCAGAGAGGAGAGCTCATGCAGGCTGCAATTCAAAACAAGGACACGCGCGTTCTGCCAAAATCCCTCTGCTCTCCCTTTCTTGGGAAATCATGAGTGACACTTTCTGCCTTTACAGCAGTGCCTCTAGCCCAAGAGTAGCATCGGAACAGGAACGACTGCCCTGGGGAGGTGAAATCATCATCCACAATCTGCTTTGAGACGCCTGACGGCTCTCTGTGCCTTCAGAAACGTTTAATACAGAAAAGGACACAGATTTTGTCCTGTGTCAGTTTGGCCAGGTAGGACATCAGGGTCTGCTACAAGGGTGTGAAGGGGGCTACAAGGATGCTGGAGAGAGACTCTTCATCAGGGACTGGAGCGATGGGACAAGGGGTGATGGGTTCAGACTGGAACAGGGGAAGTTCACGTTGGAGATAAGGCAGAAGCTCTTCCCTGTGAGGGTGCTGAGGCGCTGGCACAGGGTGCCCAGAGAAGCTGTGGCTGCCCCATCCCTGGCAGTGCTCAAGGCCAGGCTGGACACAGGGGCTTGGAGCACCCTGCTCCAGTGGAAGGTGTTCCTGCCCATAGCAGGGGGCTGGAGCTGGATAAACTTTAAGGTCCCTTCCAACCAAAACCATTCTGGGATTCTACAAGTCAGCCATCTGGACTTCCCCAATTCATTCTAGGATGGGACAAATGACATTCCAGAGATAAATGTCTTTCTCCATCAGCTACAAAAGAAACCCCAAAGAATAGAGCTTAGCCAAAACAGCCAAGTTCCAGGTAGCTGACTTGAGATGAATCCCAGCTGCTATCAGTTACCTCTGCCAGAGAGTGTCCTCATTACATTGAAAAGCTATTTCTAACATTAGCACAGTCTGGACCAGCAAAGCAGCTGAGAAGAAACCCTTGGGTGCACCTTGACTTCAGACAAGAAATCCTTTGACAACCAAAAGCCACATCATAAAAGAGGTTCAGACTTTAATACTCTGCCTCCATGTGTCAAAGTTCTGGCTCCTGATCAGGGTATCTTTGGTTAAAAGCTCAATTACATCACACACACCACTGGGCAGGAACCATCAACTGATGTTGTGGCAACAATGCCTTCACCAACCAAAAGGACGTCACTGCTTCTGTCCCCATTTCCTTGGAATTTGTTCTTCTCACCTTTATTTACTTTAAATTTTGTGGTTCCCAAAGTATTCTTCCTAATGCTTTGCTCTTCTGTGTCAAATACTAATCCATATGGTAATTAGAAATCAGATATATGCCAAATTAGTTTTCCTCTTTTATGTGCCTAAGAGATTAGAGATCTAAATACAGGCTAGGACTTTGCTTAATGGGAATGATTTTAAGGGTTGGTTATTCCTGAAGTGAACAAATCTTTCCCCATGAAATGGCCATGAAGGGCCAATGTTTTATTAGGTGCACGGACTCCTTCCTTTGAACCCCTGTCTTTCATCTCCCCCATTTCCCCATTTCATCTGAGCGGCTATTGCTGGGTTTCATCCTCTCCCAAGAGCAGGACTGCGCACTGCTGATGGCCCAGACCTTGGCTCTCCTTGCCCAGGTCCCCCTCCTCACTGGCCATCCCCAGCCCTCCCGAAGCCACCGCTTTCGGGAGCTGGCGTCAGAGATGCGGGCTCTTCTGACTAACAGAGGTGTGGTGGGGATGAGCTCAGCCATGGCTCCACCCAGCCCTCCTGGCCTGGGAAAACTGGGAGAGGACAAAGCTCCCATTCACAGCAAGAACTTCTGGGAGGGTAAAACGTGCCTTTAATGAAGGCCTTTAATGCAGCTTCTTTAGATGGCTTCCTCTCACCACCTAGCCCAAGGGGGCTGTCTTTCTATCACAGTCAGTGACATACACATATCTAATAACGCTACATATAACATATGCACTGACATAGCAAGGATACAGCATCGTTGGGTAGCTATTTTTGTTGTTTCCTCCAAAGATCTATGCACTGGTAGTAAATGCCCCTGGAAACAGACTCTTCAGTATCCCCAAAATCAACCCAAAATGAATGCATGGAGGAGGGATTCCCACACACGCATGGTGGACCAGGTGAGTTGCAGCATGGAAGCTGTAAAGGGATGCTCATCTCCCCTTCCCAACAGGTACCAAGAGGAGATCAACAAGCGCATGACTGCAGAGAATGACTTTGTTTTTGCTCAAGAAGGCGAGGCAACAACAAAGAAGAGACACACTTTTTAAAGGCAAATACATTTGAATGCAAATAACCCTCTTTATCCAGCAGTGCCAAGCTGGGCAGAGCACTTAGCAAATGTGTAGTCATCCCTCCTCGAAGCAGAAACACCCAGTTGTGCTGGTGTCAGTCCTTGGCAATATCTCATCCTCGTTTCAGGACCCTCATCCACCAGGTTCCGGATCAGAGCTGTGTCATCCATACTAGATGCTCTGCCACTTCTGCAGCCTTGCTGTATACAATCCCACCCTCCACAGACCCCCTGATCCTACCTGCAGGAGATGCAATAAGGAACTTCCATGATTTCAAGCACTGTCCAAATCATCTTTCTGTGCACTGACAAGAAAATCAGGAATTTCAGTGGCTTCTGACTTGTCAAAAACTAGAAAAGGCAGAGAGAAGAAACCAGTTCACTGTTGGCTCTGTTCAAAGGCACTAAGGTCAATAAAGTCTTCAGTTCTGGTCTGTCTCTAAAGGTTCATGCTAAATGACAAATGGTCTTTGTACAAGGATGCAGATAGGCAAGGTTTGGTTCACTGCCTCTGGTGATGTGGTTCCAGGATGCAGATGCTGCCTACGTGAACAAAGTGGAGCTGGGGACCAAGGTGGCTGTACTGACAGATGAGATTGAATTCCTGCAAGCCCTCTAGGAAGCAGTAAGA